TCCAGGTGGGGACTCCTTCTACCTTGGCTGCTGGGCTTGGGATAGTTTCTTGTTCTAGTCCTCAGTAATCTTTGCAGATGCTTCTGGATGCCCTCCTGAAGGAAAAGCAAATCAGATATATTTATTACACTCTGAGCTAAATAAACTCAAATTTTTTATGTGGTTGAAAGGAATAATGTTTTATGAGAGTCCCATTGTGTCCAAGTTTTTCTTCCGGCTAACTTGACATCTGACGGGGTGGCTAGAAGGACTTCCCAGGGTCCAGTCCACTTTTTTCTAACTGGTTTTCAGGCCCGTCTCTCCATGTTCTGAGCAGAACTTCCAGGCTGGAAGAGGTCAGGTTACCTGCAGGGAAGGAAGAAGACCTGGGAGGAGCAGTTTTCCAAATAATAGAAAGTGTGTGGTGGAAGTGTTGCACATACCACTGCGCCTGTAAACCTTGGCTGAGGTCAGGTAGAGAGGGTTGAGGGAAGCTGCCTGGGAAGGTTAACTGTATCCAACTTTATAAGGGCTCAATTTAAGCCCACTTCTAGGGGCTATTCAAAACAGGACTGAGGCAACATCTGGTCCCAATGTAGATAAATTTCCCGACAGTTTTGTCATTGGTTTCTCTTTAGAGTAGGGTTCATTTTCTCGATCCTCCATGTTGAATGCAATCTCCATTTTATCTGTAGGTGTTTGCTGCTCCGTTGTCACTTTGGACACTCTGGAAATCCAAACTTGGAGGTAATCTCCTTCAAGAGGATTTTCACTATTTCAGAAGTTCTTAGTTCTGGTGGGGGGAAACCTCTGCCCAACTAGAAAAGGTGTCTACAAAAATAAAAACCAGCAAATATTTAATTCCCCTGCTGGGGGCATCTGCATGAAATCAACCTGTTAATTTTCAATTTACCTTGATATTGGCACTGAACAGCCTCTGTCTTGGGATTTTTTTTTTTTTTTTTTTTTTTTTTTATTGTGAATTATGTGATGGTTTACATGGGAAAACATTAATTTTATATTCATCCTATCAT